CATCATGCCTATGGTCTCAGATCACCACTGCAGGAAAGAATCTGCCCAATGACTGAATTAATAACTTCTTGTTCTTACCTGCACTCTGCAAATGGTTTTGGTTGGGCTGGGATCCCAGGAAAGCCTGGGAAAAGAAGCAGAGCAAAAGCAGAGAGATGATTATCCGATGAAATAAACATGAGCATGTCCTAAAAGCAGCTCAGCTTTTTGCAGCTTTAGGCAAACACACCCTAGTAACCGGTCTCTTCCTTGCTTTCTCCATTGCTCCTCTTCAAATCTAATCATAGCTCTGTCCACTAACAGCAAAATGAATAATTACTGGCCTGCAGAGATTTACTCTAGCACTACCTTACAGGGCTCTGTTTGTTTTTTTTCCAGTAGACTTGGAAGTCTGAGATGCCTATGGAAAGGAAAGCTAGAAGAAAATCATTATTATCAGTAAGAAAAATAATGAATAACCACTCATTCTCTCTCCATTTACAGGATAAGTCATCGATGGCCACAGTAGCAGAGATATATCTATACCATGATAGGATGATGCCCCCAGGATACCTGTTAAAATGGTAATAAACATCTATGTACAAAGCCGGAAACATCTAAAGAAGAAAATCCAACAAGGCTTTTTGAGGATTTTTTTTTTAATACTTGAAAATATGATATGGCTTATGGTATTATCCAAATAGGGTTAAATACCTAAAAGCAAAAAATATGAAACAAAGTTCTCAAAATTCTAGCATCCTGTCTGGACTCAAAACTACATTTCCTCTTATTGGCAGTGTTTTTTGTGGTTATAACTTCACTTTTGGCTGAGAGATAGGGATCTCAACTCAACACCACTACAAGGTGTGCAAGCAAATGCAAGATCTTCACAGACCCAGAGTGAAAAGAAGAAACTGTACGTGTTTCTGCTAGCTCCTTGTAGTTTAATTAGTTTCTAAGTATTTTTAATGAACATTTCTAATACTTTTATATGAACAAAGACTTGTAATTCACAGAGCAGAAGTGTGCAGCTAAAGAATACTAGCTATTGGTAACAATTGTGGTTTTCTTCAAAATGCAGTAATTTTGCCTCTCTCAAATTTGGAATGAAACCAAATCCACTTCTGGAATAAGCAGAGGTAATTCCCACAGAAACCTGACACAAACAACACCTACTCATGTTAGATGACATTTTCAAATCAAGTTTATGAATATCGTCCAGCAGATGTTGACAACCATGGCCAAGCTCCAGCATCACCCTCCAGCAGCCAGAATGTGATACTGCATTTGGAGGATAAATTCCTGACATGGTTCAGAAACAGCAGATCAGGTCTCAGGTGCTTATGCACAAGGGGATGCACAGATAAATCAGCACTTAACTGAAAAATGCTTTTCAGCCAAAAATCCATCTACCTGCATGTATCAGACTGCTGCAAGGCCACATAATGGTTTGTGAAGCAACAATACTGAAGGACTCAAAGTTCTTTGCAGAGAAAGTTTGAGGATCTCAAAGTTCTTTGCAGAGAGAGGAAAGTGAGCTAAGCTGCACTTTTGTGATTGCACCAAACGGGTGACTGAGCCACAAAGCAGGTCCCTCAGCTCCTAGTTTTCAATGTACACCTGCACACACAAGTAAACCTGCAGGTGATAGAGGGATGGGTCAGACTAATAACAGGGTATATATGAGAGTCTGAACCCACTCTTTTTGGAGCCAGACCATAAACAAAAGCACTGCAGTCCAAGTAATACATTTCTCTTCTAGTGAAATATTAGTTGCTGCCAGTTCCTGTAGCAGCTTCCAAAACATCCCAACTCTGACCATCACTACCAACAAAATTAAGTGCAAACAGTCTGTGCTGCAGGCATTGCCCCAGGTCGTGTGGCTATAAATCATCTGTCCACAACAGCAAGAGGGGCAATCAGCAAAGAACAGAAACAAAGGATCTCTCCTACCAGGGTCACTGCAGAGCCTGAGAAACATAGGAAACCCAAGCCAAAGCATCTGCAAGCCCTTGTGCATCCTGCTTTCCTGCTTTGTTTCTTTTTCTGAATTTCATATGCTCAGTGAAACAAATCCATCCCCAAACCCCCAGCCCTTCCCAGAGACCACAGCTGCCTAGATGCTCCAGAAAACATATTCCGGTAATAACAAGATCCACTTACAGTGAGGATATTAAAAGAGACATGTGACTTCTTACAAGCAGATAGAAAAATAACCACTTCTTACCTCCACACATCTGAGACAAGATAGCAGACTCGAGAGCTCCACCAGGAGCCCGAGTATTTTGGAGATCTCCATCCCTCCTGTAAAAAGTGGGCAGAAGGTTCCTCAAGCATCACATTCTCGTTCAGCTGCCGGGCTCTGCTTTCCCACGCTAGCCACTCCGCACCGGGGGCAGCAGGATGCCTTTTCCATTTCTACGCAGGGAAGGCGATATAAGGGAAGGGATCAAAGTTCCCAGCAGCATCTTAGAATTTCACTTTCCCTTTCCTTTCCCCATCTCTTCTCCTTGAGTCTTCTCTTCAGGAAGGGGGAAAAGATGGGAGAGAAATAAGGGAGGACAGCACGCCCCAGAATTTACCTAGCGCATCTGAAAGCGGGAGGAGGGAGCGCAGGCGGTGGGGCGCACCCTCAGCCCGCTCCGCTCCCCGCTGTCCCCTCCTCTGCCCAGCCTCCCCCGTGCTCCAGGTACGCGCTTCTCCCAGCGCCAGCCTCCGCCTCCCCAGCGCCCGGGCCGCCGCCCGCTCCTCTCCTGCAATGCCTCCTTCCCGCAGCTGCCTCTCCCTCCTCTCCCCGCGGCACAGAGGCTGCAGCACGGCGAGGAGCTGGGGCCGTGTCCTCCCGCAAAGCCCCCGGCAACAACTGGGGAAGGAAACGGCGTGTGCGCGCACACTTGCCAGAGATTAGACTTCTTGGAAGGAATCTGGACTTTATCCCCCCACCGCTGCCTCCTCGATTACCTGCCTGCAGCTTCCCGAGGTCAGCTCTCCTCATACTTGAACCCAGGTAAATGGGACCCAGAAAACCAGCTTCCAGATCTCCCCATGGAAAACCCACAGGTGGCACAGCCTTCTCCCAATTTTCAGCCTGCATCTTGCCCCCATGGGTACTGCCTCCAGAGATCTTTTCCATCAAGCTTCTCCTTGACCTTGGGCTTTATTTTCCCTCAATTGGGTAGGATGCTTTCCAGAGGGTTGATCATTATTGTATTACCATGAACAATCCCATGGGGGGGGGGGGGGTAGTGTTTTCAGCTTACTTTTTTCATCTGAATTAGGGTTGGAGGCTACAAGTTTTTAACACTATTAAATCTAAGAAGGGAATTGGCCCATTTGAAGCTGTTCAATCTCAGATTTTTTTTAAACGTTCCCTGTGCATTTCCTATACTTATATTCTGATTTTGGAAGGATTAACTCCTGGTATTCTCTAGCATGAAACATGAAGGTCACCTTAAGAACTGAGCTCACTGCTGGCCAAGTCTGCTAAGTAGCACTTCCAAAGTCTTCGGCATAAAAACAAGGAATGGGCTGCTAAAAATCCATTGGCTCGACAAAAAGCCTTTTTTCCTCCTTCACTTATTGCCCATTACTCACTTCACTTGGCAGTTTTGTGTTGCCTCATCCTCAGTCGGTCATCAAAGGCAAGGAAATTTCACTACCTGCTGGATCTTTTATAGGAGTTGCTGAGTGGTAGGAAGGAGCTCTTTCTGGAGTGCATTTGGCCAAGAATTGCACTCAGTTAATTAGGAGCAAATCTCCTATATCCTCGTAGTGAGGGAGGCAGACGATCAGGGCAACAGAGGATGGAAATAGCTTAGATGCAACATCACGCTGTAACTCTCAGGCAGCACTGGTAAAAAAGGAACAAATAAAAATACAGGACTGTGTTGGAATTTAAAACCACTTACTCCAGTGAAAACACAAGGAAAGGATATACTGGAGACACAAACAGAAAATCTACTAGCATTCAGAGCAATTTGCTCCTTAATCAGCAGTAGAAGTTATTGATGCTCCTTCAGAACTCCCTCCCATAAGACACTCACTGTTTAGCCCTGACACACAGGCTCAAAATCTCTAGCAAAAGCCTCCATTGGATTTCTCTCACAGTAGCTTCTAATTTGCTTCCCTCTCAAAGCAAGGTTTTCCTAGATAAAGTAATTTCCTAGATAAAGTAATTTTAAAGGAAACACAGGCCAGTGCACCGAAAGCAATAGGAGTCTAAGTCTGTATTCAGTTTTTGGAAGAATGATGAACTGTGGACAGATATAGTGGGGTTTGCAGTTGTCTCCTCTGTGGGGGGTCTTCTTTTGGAACTACTTCCTTCTTGCCAAGACTCCCCTGGTTTTCTGGCACATATAATGACATTTTCTTGAGAGACGTGGATCTCAGGATTCTCAAAAGCTTCTCATGGCTACATGGCCCTCTCCAAGGCAGAGGAAGAAAAAGAAGGAAATTATACCAATGTAACTGTCAGTTTAGATCGGTAATGTATCTACAGATAAGGTAAAATAAATACTCAACTTCCTTGTATGGGCAAATTTGAAGTAGTTGTAAATATCTAAGTCCACTATTTAACACTAATCACCTTCTCACCCTGATACAAGCACAGTTCTATTAAAATAAGCCTGTGATTCCCTACAGAGTCTTTCTGTTTTGATTTTTCCAGATTATTCTATATTGAATTTTGGAACAAGAAGTACCATCTTCTAAAATGTTCTTGGCTCTCTGGAATTCAACCCATTTCTCCTGAACTGGCAGGACTACTATTCATCAAGGCCAGCTGAAATACTAATGCTTCCTCCACAGAGATCTTCAGTGAAAGCCTAAAAAGAGAGGTAGTTAACAGCAATCGTACCAAAGCTGGTATAATACTCAAGCTGTAAGGAACAGGAATAAGATCAAGGAATTCCAGCAGATTTGCTTAAATCCTGTAAATCCGACTTAGGAGGGTAGAACAGCTAGTCAGCTTTTGTTTAATTCTTTCCCCACCACGCAATCACATACAGGTCTCTGCAGCAATGTTCTTAACCAGTGGGCTCAGCACCAGAACCCAGTTTTATTCCCCAGCAACAGCATCATGGAGCTCAGAAAGAACAGTGTCATTCCCTACAGTTACGCACATGAACTATTAGTGGAGTGATCTCCAATATGAGCATGTCACAGAATGCATTTAAACACCGACTAGAAGTTTAACAGTGAGATACAAAACCATGGCAGCAGCTGAAATTGCCAAGGACAATCAGTAACTGGAGGGGTTTTGGTTACAGCAAGGGATCCCGAGGCAAAAGAATTGCTACAGTACTTTTAAAGGAAGCACTGTAAAACCTGGGTGCACCTGAAAAGCATTCTGTTTCCTTCTTTCTTCCTCTAAATAAATGAAGACTGGAAAACCTTAGCATAGTAATTTCAAGATTACGATAGACATGTAAAAGGTCAGACAGAAACCCAAACCCTTCACTGAATTTGTGAAGCTCACTGTGAAGCAGTATGATCCAAAAATAGCTGTTCAGATTAGTGGGAGCTGTGCAAAATTTCAGAAGTAAAACTATAAAAAGGTCAGACAGAAACCCAAACCCTTCACTGAATTTGTGAAGCTCACTGTGAAGCAGTATGATCCAAAAATAGCTGTTCAGATTAGTGGGAGCTGTGCAAAATTTCAGAAGTAAAACTATAAAAAGGTATTGGCTTCTCTGTTACAGCCTCTTATATAAGACAGTTCATCGCAGACAGCAGAAACAAAGTACCAGGAAGCAGCATTTCCTTTCAGTGTCTTTTGAACTGAAAATGCAGAATGTCATAGAACCAAAGTGTTTTCCAAACTTAGATGTGGACATTATGTTCTTACTGACCCCAAGTTCTCTGAAAGACCCAATTATGCCATAATAGCAACAACAGAACAAGCTACCCTGTTCATGTACCCTCCAATCATGAGGCACTGTAAGTTATAGTTAAATGGAAATTTCTTCAATAACTTGAAACATTCACCTGACCAAAATTTATGGGATAAACCAGGTATCATCAGCCTGGGGCTCCAGAGAAGTCGGCTCCAACTCCAGCAACTCTCCAGTCACCTGTGGGTAATCTCACAGTCTGTGTGTGCCTGACTCCCTTCTTCCTCTGCTTTTTCTACATGCCTGAAAGAATTACTGATATAAATGGTTATAACAGTAGTTTCCCAAGACACTGCATTTTTCTCAGCAATTAGGTACTGGTCCTGAAGTTTTGTGGTACTGTAGTGGAAAAAAAAAACCCACAGAGAAACTAATAATTCATTACATGATTTCAGTTACCAGTTCATGCTTGAACTTTCTCTCCCTCTTTTGTTTTTTTTTTACCAAAAAACAATGAAACATTTTGTTGTAGATTATGAGTTGCCCAAGTCAAACATCAGTCTTGCATTATTTTATTATAGTCCAGACAAAATAATTAAACTGATGTGGCACCACACCTGTGCCACCTGCAAATCAGAGTGCCTAAATCATAAGTTTCTACGTTAAAGTTATATCTGATACTTACCAATGTACTGTGTATTAACAAGGTACTTTGCTGGGGATTTTTTGCACATTCTATAGCCTTTTTGTACAGCAGCAGGAATTAGGAACCAAATTGTGTATCCACTCCTGCAGAAGTACAAGCCATGAGATTACTACCAATTTTCAGCTGGCTTAGTGTTTGAACCTGAGCACTTCTCGACAGCAGCTCCAAAGCTAGGTAGAAAGCTTATATGTTAGGAAAAGTCACCCCCAAACTGTTAGGAAATGCATTTAAATGCATTTCTAAAAGGTTTTATTTAACAGTGAGGACCCGAGTAGGCTAGTTCTGGCTAGCTGAACAACATACTGCAGAAATCCTAACACTGCAAGACCCAGGAATCTCATGAACAAAATCAGCTGATACTCTGGAATCAAAAGATGGGTCAAGATCGACAGAGTAGTGCTGACAGATACAACTTGACATCAAGCACTCACTCAAGTTGACTTTTCTCTTTTTTGCCAAAGACTCCAACTTTAATTGCTCATCCACAGTCCCCTTAGTAAAGCACATTATGGATAATGTCTGATCTGAGGAAACCTCCTCAGGAGCTTGTTCACTTTGCTTGAAGGTAAGTTTCCCCTGGATGACAGAGCGTCCTCGTTTTGATTCCTGCGCTGTTTCTGAAAGACAAAAAAACCCCCAAACCCTTAGCTTATCATATAGTATTATTATATTAATATATAATATTATATAATTAGAAACATCTAATTTCCAAACAATATGAAATTTATTTTTCAAGATGTCCAGCCTTCAAAGTCAGAAACAGCCTAAAAGAGCTCCTAATTTTCAGAGAATTGAGAATTGCCATAACTACCTCACATATCCTGAAAACTGTTTGTTTGTTACTGAAAACATTGGTTATTTCTCTACCAACTTGTCTCCATTCTCACTCCTGCAATCACAAAACTATTTATAGACTTATGACACCGGAATTTGGGAATCCTAACTCACCACTCTCTCCCACTGTCTAGATAACGCAGGTATTGGATCAGCTATTTCCTGACTGCATGAATCAGCAGTTGCAGAAACTTGCCTATACTGCACATCTCCCCAGTTACAATATAATCCACATGTTGCATGCAACCTCAGCTCCCTCAACCTCTCCTCATAGGACTTGTGCTCCAGACCCTTCACCAGCTTCATTGCTCAAATGAGTTACACCACCAAACAAATTGTTCAGAGAACATTATTACTGCTGGCACACAAAAAATGACTGGGGGCTTCCACCTTCCCTACTACTAGCCTTTAGGAACACAAAAGAGACTTTAATTACTTCTGCTTTTGCCACACAGTCATAGAACACCCGGATCTCCTCGGCACAAGCGGCGTCGTTGAAGTCATTCTGCTTCCAGCAGGCCATCATTACTGACATCTCCGTAATGCACATCGCCTCTAGAAGGGAAGGACACAACCAGAAGACTCAGGTCTTTAGGGTTTTATTCTAACAACCTCCACAGTGCATAAATCTCCAGAGAAGTTTAAGATGGAGTCGAGGCAGGTGAGAAAATGCAGCACTAAAGATCTCAGCTTTGCTTTGGGCAGAGTTGACGCCAGCACGAAGATTAGCCCCGCTGCAACCATCCAACATCTGACTGAATTCTTAAGATACGGGCTATGCTGCAACAAAGTGTTTTATGTGCGTGGCTCACATACAGAACAGCACAAGAAGCAGACTTTGGGTTGCAGTGTGAGGAAACCATCCTTTCCACTGAGCCTCTGAACTAATTCCATGGCCCAAACCAGCCTCTCCCCCTTGCAGCCCCGCAGGACACCGGGTGTCAGCAGCACGACCCTCCCCGCGGGGGCCGGGCCCGCCTTCCCCGCCACCACTCCCCGGGAACTCACCTCCCCTCTGCTCCCTGCGGTTCGCCACCTTGTCGGCGAGCGCCAGCGGGCGGGGCGGGCGGATGGCCGGGGGCCGCTTGCTCTGGCGCCACTGGCCGCTCACCCAGCGGGTGACCCAGGCGGGGTACACGGGCCCCGCCATGTCCCGCACGGCCCGCGGCGCCTGCGCGGCCGCCCTGAGGGGCGGGCCCTGCCATCCCACCGCACGGGAAACCCGCCCCTTCCCGGTGCAACCTCCATTTACCACCCCCGTCCTGCTTATCCACGCAAAGGGGATTCCATGAAAATTAAGTAACTTCCCCACAGTTTCCGCGTTAGGCGGAACCACTCAGTAACAGCTGCAGCAGTCTGCACCCCAAAACTTTTTTCTGTGGCAAACCTAACAAAGGAAGGAGCAAACACGCTCTGCTCTTCGACAAGAGCAGAAGAAATCATGATTGTTTCAAATAATTCAAATGGAACTCAAGGAATCACAGAATGTGTGAGGTTGAAAAGGACCACAGTGGGTCATCTGATCCAACCTCGCTGCTCAAGCAGGGCTGTCCTAGAACACATGGCACAGGACTGTGTCCAGATGGTTGAGGGAGACTCCACAACCTCTGTGGACAATCTGTTCCAGTGCAAGGTTACCCACACAGTAAAGTTCTTCCTCATATTGAAGTGGAACTTCCTGTGCATCAGTTTCTACCCACGGCCTCTTGTCCTATTGCTTGGCAACACCAAGAAGAGCCTGGTCCATCCTCTTGGCACCCTTCCCCCCTTAGATACTTACACGCTGTGATGAAGCCCCTTCTCAGTCATCTCTTCTCAAATTCTTTTGCAACTATGGAAACTTTTCTTGATGCTTCAAACTCGCATCACTTAACTCTCAGCCCCTCATCTGTCTCCATTACATTACAGCTGGATCTGTATTGCTCCTGCTGTTTCTTCCAAGAAGACACTGAAACTGCTGCTTCCAAAATGGTGGCATCGTTCCCACAGCCTCCTAGTTGGTGGTGGAAAATCCCCTTGTTCCCAAAAGTTTCTTCCCTAGGGTAGTTCTGGAAGTCCTCAACTCATCTGGCAGGTTCTGGAGCGCTTACATCCTCAGCTGAAAAAGGCAGGCAACACAGAAGGCACAGGAACATTTCAAGGGCTGGGGTACAAACAGGTCTCAGCACGGCAGGAGGGACAAGGTAGACGCAGAAAACTGAAGAGTTAGACATCAAACACTGGGGACATAAAGTACTCAGATCCTTGTCATAAAGCAGTTCCTGAATAAGCCATTTTACCACTGTATCAGGGCTCTTCAGGCACCAACAATCTCCCTTTTGCACTGGAGGACATATGAAGGATCAGTTTCCTTCCACAGGTTTGAGTTCTCTGACCATATACAGGAAGGCCAAACCAAAGATGTTGGAAATAATTTTTTTTTTTTTTTTTGCACAGGACATTGATTTGGATTAAAATATATTCAACCTCCTAGCTATAGACATAAAAACCACTCCCCTTGCCTCTGCCTATTCAAGGAAGTTAACAAGACATTAGAAATTCTGTTAACTTGAGCTAACATCACCAGACCTATATCAGAATATTCTCAATATGGTTACTAGAATTTCCTGCATCTGCAGACAATATATTCTGGTATGTCCAATTCTATAATTATTTTTGTTATTTTTAAAACAGTATATTCTTAAAGTCCAATATAAAGAGTATGAGAAGACATTTTCATGTAAAAAAAAGATTTCTTTTGGCGCTCTTTAGAAGTAAATTTCCATCTAAGGTTCAAATTCAAACACTTTATCTGGAAGTTCTGAAACATTTTGGTAAGCGGGGTGTTTCTCTAGTTCCATTTTCTCTGAAAAGACAGGAAACAAGCAATCCTTTGAGCTGGACTACTAGTAGAGAAGAAGAAAAACAAGCTGACACCTTCAAGTTAGGCTAGAGGCTTGCATTCTGCATCTCTAAACACTGGAGATCTCGCAAATCCAAGACAGGAACATGAAGTACATTTCAGTATTCCAGTTCATGTGAGGTTCAGCTACTCTTCTTTTTGCCTCTTCTAGTTACCCTTACTGATATCCACTTTTCCCTGCTGCATTTGCCACCTGCAATTCCTAACCAGACATGCACAAGAACAATAACGAGGAAAGACACAAATACTAGGACATACTGCACTCCCTGTAAATCAGCCTCCCTTTTTCCAAATTACATTAGCTAATGGTGGCAGCACCTTCAGGGACATTCACCTTCAAAAGCTGATCTCTCGTTTAAGTAATTCCAAGAAAAATGAGGCGGGGGAGGAGGGAAGGTTAAGAAATAGAAAGGCAAGCTACACAAGGAGAATTGTAATAGCTTCCTGTAAGTTACTGCTGTCTGCACTAGAATTTCCATTTTTTTTTGGCATTCAGTCAGGGATCGGAGCCTAACAAACTCCTGAGCAGGCAGAATAAGGTACTGATGGTGTCTGCGCACAACATGCAAAGATGTCTGAAGCAAGACACAATTTTACTATTGAACATGATTAATACTGAACATTTATTTTAAGGGAGAATGTGGAACTACAGAAGGGGTGTGTTACTCAACAGCCAAGTCTCTCTCTAGCCTGTATTTTGTTTAGCTGATAGCACTGAGACACTAATGGAAGGGACAGAAGTGCTGACTTTAGAGGGACAGTCAGAAACCAAATTCTCTCAGCAGTGAACCACACAGATGTTTCACTGTGAATCCTGAACATACAACTATAAAAACCATGTGAAAGTCTAACTGCATGCACAGCTTGTTATCTTAGATCAGCATAGTTAAAGGTGAATCCTCGCCTGCATTTCAGCTAGTCAAAATCAAAATAAACCACAGAGATTAAACTATGAGTATTAGATTTGAAAAGAATCTATATCACAAGTGAGTAAGAGCCAGGTATGATGCTACAGCAAATGCTATGCCACAAATAAATACAGTGCTAACAATGCTGTAATAAAATACACCCTTAAAATGAGATTGTTGTCTTAAATACCTCTTTCAGAGGTGAGAAATTACATCATGTATCTACCCTTCACATTCTGGTTTAGCTATGTAAAGCCTCCAGATACTGCCTAACAAACAATTAGGAGATGAGGTTAAGAAATCAGTTGTATTGGGGAAAAAAGAATAGAGTTGATATCCATGTCTTTTTGAACTGCCTGGATCCAGCTTCCAGGTAAATTCCAGTATATTCACACAAATTTACCCAGAATGCACCAGTTAGTCTCATATCACTTCATAATGCCCTCACTTACCACAATTTATTCTCGACTGTCTCACCCTGACCTTCTTAACCCAATTTAATTGGAGATGCCTTAAAATTTAAAGCACCTCCACTTTAGTAGTGAAACAAACCCGTTTGGTGGGATTCCAGGTGGTTTTGACTTAACTCCTGTCTGCTGAGTTATCGGGTTTGGACAATATTAGCCCTTAATGTTCTTATTAGCACAAATGCATTCACTAGCACCATGACAGATGCAATTTCTTTTCTGACATGTCACGCCCCGCCCCAATTCCAACACCAGCCTACTTTATCCTGAGCTCTCAATCAGATCAGCTGCAGCTGCCCTGCATTGTTGTGTCTACCTCTGTAGTTTTGAACTGCCATCCCTAATCCCTAACTCCTAGGATCTACGAAATCCAGCCATTTCCAGCAAATTACCTGATGCTTCCTTATTTGCTCAGAGGTGCCAGAAACTATCATGATCTGCTCTGATCCATTCCAAGATCCCCAGAAACATCTCTAGTTGAGACACTTGTGCATTAAACGGGTATTTTCTGCAGGACAGAATGTATATAACAGTATACAAATTAATATGCCAGTGGTGTCAGAGCTCTGGAACAAATCCTGCAGCTCCATTCTTCTCCACCCTTCCTAATCCCTCTGCAGGGCCATATATCTCTCACTGCCAGCTCTGAGACAATGAATCACAAAGAAAGGTAAAATTTGTTAATGCCTGACAGGTTTTGGCTCAGTTCCTCATATCACTAAAAGGATTTTGTCTCTGATTAATATCAGCCTGTCAGTAGAGGTCTCTGGGCAGAATGATGGAATCTGCCACCCTGTATGTTTCCAATTAATACAACTTCTCAGAAGGTGCCTGGAGATCCATCAATAATCTTAATTAAATATAACCAAAGGGATGACAACTAATGATTAAGGGAGTGGCTCTCTTGGGACAATGGCTGAAGAGTGTGTATGGCAGGTCAGGAAGAGAGGCAGATGGCTGCTTGTCTAACACAGTAAAGCCTGTTTAAACACAGATGTCCCTGATGGCTGAGTTTCAATTCAATTTATCCTGTTCCCAGTCCTTTAGGAGTTACTTTTCTTCCACACCAGTTAAAACTACCCTCTGCCAAGGTGCAAGAGGGGATTTCTGCTGTGATTCTCCAGCTGCTGCATTCTGCAGATCATTTCCAGAGAAAGCAGCTCGTTCTCCTTTCCCTCTAAACATATTGCTTTGCAACATATTGCAAAGCAACACTGTTGCTTTGTTCTCATTCTACTTACCATTACAGGGGACCCAGAGATCTTTCAGTTCAAAAATTACTACAGTGACAGAAATAAAAAAAGGCAATTCTTTCTGAGTTCTAGAAATCATCAATATTAGGAATCAAATCACTATACTTCAGTGAGGTTATATGGTTCCTACACATTGAAGTCCTTGCTAAAGGACAGAAAACACAGACTACTAATTCATTATAAAAAATACCCAGCTTCTTACTGAAAAAACAGGCAGCACTAGGTATCACAGTTTTAGCAGAAGAATGAGAGCTGTAGCTTGTCCAATGCAATGCACTGGACTGCTAGATTTTTAACCTTCTGTCAGACATTTATTTCTCCTCTCTCACCTCTCACAGGCCATAAACTTATCCTAGCTTGTCAAATCAATTCTGAGACACAGCATCAACAGAATGTACCAGTGTTTCATGTGAGCAGTAATGAGATATCTATTTTTAGAACATTAATGCTAATGAATAAAGCTATCCTGACAGCTTTGAAAGCCTCCCTGTAGTCACACAGTAAACAGGCAAAATGCATGATAAGCAGTGAAGCCACTCACCCTAGTTTGCAGGAGCCTACCAAAGGGTTTGCAGGAGCAATCTCTTAATCATCCTCAATATTTGGCATCTTTGCTAAAATTCCTGATTAGTCTCAATCGTGTGTTTTTATGAATACGAGTACCTGCACTGTAAGAATATGATTTAGATGTCGAATACATCTATCACATCTATCATGTCTGAGTATCATGTAGCTTCACAATATGAGCAATTACATTCAGCCACCATTAACTGTTTTGAATTTAAAGCAGTAAAGTGAGAAATCCAGTTAAGAACAGAAATCAGGAACCTTTTTCCAAAATATTGGCAATTGCTGCAGTGACCTTCCTCCTTGTCTGCATTCACATACTTCCATTAGTAGAAAGACAACTAGGATTGTAAATTGAATTTACTTTGGCTAAGACTGGCAGTACTTGTTGGCACTATATAGCAAGCCTTTAAAATGCATTATTAAGCAAATTGATTGCAAACTCTTCAAGGGTATGAGACCCAGCTTCTCCTCCTGCCTCCTCCAAATAACAGGAGAGAGATGAAAGCTAAGACCATGGTGGTAGAACCACCTTATTCAACATTTGGCAGTCCTTGCTGTGCAGAGAAGTAGATGTTGTGAAGGTCAGTCAGCATCAAACAGAACTGCAACCACAACTCTTCAGCCAGGCTGGGGAGGATTCCCACCTCCCCTGCCCCTGCAGAGTTTGCCTGGCAGCTACACAACGCATCCACACTACACACCGGAATAAATATTTCAGCCCTAATTCTTGCACACCATGTACAAAAAGTGAAACATATTTAGTATATTAATAGAAGGAAGAGACACTGTTTATAAATCATGGACGTAGTGTGACATACAGGAGATGATAAAGCTAGTATGATCTATTACGATAGAAAAAACTCTCAGATACAAAAGAAATGCAAGGCTTGGGTGAGCATCACAACTGCTAAGAAGGGTAGCTGTTACTCATTACCTTTTGACAAGTTCACCGCCTGTAAGACTGTAAAAAAATAGTTAAACCTAGGAAGACACTAAGAACACAGAAAATGATCATGTGACTACAAACTGAAAGTTGTATTTTGAAAAACTCAGACAAAACCTCCAGAATATCTGTGATAAAGTTACCTTCAGATCTGCACTACTTTCATACCCACGTTAAGAAGATACATGACAATCAGAAATACTCCTGGCTTGGCAACCATCATAAAGCTCAATGCAACAGCCTTCTGTAGTACAGACATGGAGCAAACCAACAAACAAATAAACTCTGTAGGACTAACAAAAAAGCCTTGTTGACTGGTGATTGTAATATACTGAGAAAATAAACAGTGGTGAAGGAATACTTGGTTTTTAATTAGCAATTGAATGAATCAGGGCCCCAAGAAGAAGTTTTTACCTAGTTTGCTAGCTACTCTTCAGCTTGTACCACCACATCTTCAATGCTATTAGTTGGAAACATGCTCATGTTGCTGAGCAGGACGGCAAAGTGAGGCTTTGGACATCACTCCTCAGGAACTAAGTAGTTGCTATGATACACATGCTTATATTGGTACTTCCTCCTGTTACTCCTGCAAGGATACATTAAAAGTAGGATGTCTAATTTTTGCAAAAGCAAATAAATTATAATAAATACCTGGAAATTATTACAAATGCTACACTTCTAGAAAATCTACTTAAAGTACAGGATAAAATGGTAAATGCAGCATGTGCTAGTACCTGGTACTTAGTTTTTATGTTTAGTATAAAAAGCAAGATCAGAATCTCTTGTCCTATCCCACCAAACACTTGGATAAAAAAGTGTTTTGAGATATAGCTAATCAAGAGAACCATTCAAAGACTGAATGATTTTCTACAGAAAAACACGAAATGAAGTAACTGAAGGCATCAATTCAAACAATTTACTTAAATATCATTAAACTGTTTAGTAGAAGTTGATATTCAGAACTAAAGCAGCCTTAATTTGTTTTATCTTAATGTATTTCTCAAGCACATTGTGGCCACTTCAATCCTGAATACACACATCTGTAATTTTAATCCGATTTGAGTAATTCACTTTAACAATTAACTCAGATATATTCACTTAGGTATTCATGTCTCCCTAGTAACTGAAAAAAAGGAATGTAAAACTGATAAATGCATTTTATCTGAAGAACCATTTGTTACTACTATTAGAGAAGAGAGATAAAAGAACAGTTATCTCCTAAAAACAATCAGGTGAGATCACTGTATATTGCATACATCTACATTTGCAAGAATTCAGTGATAGTTACGGGCCTGAAGTCTTTGCTGTCAAGTGCCCTGATTTTAACATGGCAATATTGTTCTGTCACCTGAGAGACAAATATTTAGGTGATCTACATATCCTGATATTATACCTATAATACCATATCTATAATATTACAAAGGGGAATTTGAGAGGAAAAAAATATGTTAAGTGATCCATACAGCACTAAGCAATAGACAGTGACATAATTAGGGACAGAATGTAGATTCACTCCTGTTTCTAACTTTTACTAACAGGCATTGGACTTCCCATAGCAATGCATAAACTGCCTTGCAAAATCAGATTAGCCCACAGACTGTAGACTTTCATTACAAACATTCAGTCTCAGGCATGGATAAACTCTGGCTATTTAGTTAGGAGTTAACTTCTGCTGGGGGAGGAGAAATGGAGAAAGAAAGCAGCATTGTACCATTAGAGACATCACTGCAGTGTGGCCATATTTGCCCATGCTTTTAAATCTGTGGCACTAAGGGAATTAGTTTCCCTCCACTGCAAGATCAATTATTTCAGGAAGATACCCAACATGGAAAGGAACAGTGGTGGTTATTTATATCTGTAAGCGATACAGGCTACACAGCAAGGAAGATCTATCCACATGTCATCCTTAGGAACTCCAGTCACAGACCAGGATTGTAATGTGTTAAGATTTTGTAGAGATACAAAACCATTTCAGTACAGAAAGACTTCAAGGCTTGTATCCAAACTGCAGAGACCACTGGAAAGGGACCATTGTTAAAATGTATTTGGCTTTGCAGAAAGCTGCACATAAAAAGAACAAATCCCAGGTCTCTGAATTGGTAGCATTAAGGAGATAACAAAAAGTCAAGGTTATGGGTTTTGGATTTGATGGAAAATTAAAGGAACCAAGGCATACCAATTTTACTTAGTTCTACACAATACCAGCTAATACACTTTGTGGTGTGAACTAATTTGTTGAAAGCTGCAAATTAAATAATTTGATTTCTCATCCCATTGTACATATCACCTGGTAAGTTAGCAAAAGAGAAGAATTAGTCAGAGAGTAAGTGACCTGTCCATAGCTAATCAGTTATCCTGAAAAGTAGGAGTATTTGAGTCGTGCTTACTTGGGGCAAAGAGACTTTATTGCTGCAATTTTGTAAGGCACAGTTGCTCTCCACAGATTTGTCTTTTGTAATTCCTTCACTGGAAAAGCCATTTGTTAATAGCAGCTAAAAGTACATCTTAATGAAGAGAATATGTGACTGATAAAATACGTATAAAAACAATTAATATTCTGGAGACTTAAAAAAAAATCCCTGATCTTTTGCCCCACATGTTGACACCTGCAAGTCAGAAGCAGCTTCACACCAGAGAGCTGAAATTCAAATCAAAGCAAAGCAGTTGCTAACGTCTCCACTGCTGGAATCCAATCATAACAGAAACTCACTTCTTGCACGAGAAAAAACTGTCTCTGTGAGAGGGTTTTTTTTGTATTTCAAGGCAAACATTTGAAGCGAGGTAAGAATTCACAGTCTCAACTTTCAACGCAATTTTCAAATCAAGCTCTTACAAAGATGGGTCAGTGTTGCCTTGTCCTCTTGAGAAAAATCTCATGCATATAGTCCCAAAATCTTCCTTGATGCGACTCATTGCGATGAATCATAGCTGTGAGGGCCTCACCCTGATCAAGGCTTTGCCAATAATCCTGCAGCCACATTTCTTTCCAACTGAAACAAAAAAAGAGACATCACCACAAACCATTAAAAAACCCAAATGAGTCTGCAGCTGTAATATCACTGAAACCATTGTTTTTCTTTCACCTAAGAGAAAAACAGGCCCAGGGATGGTCATAACAAACTATGTTGTTATTGTGCTCCAAGTCATTTATAGAAACTTGCTATGAAAATTCTCTACAGAAAATACAAGTTCACCATGAGCTTTACAACATTCTAGAAGTATCAGCATATGACTACAGTGTTAACCAAAGAGACTAAATTGTTAATTGTAGAGAATAAAAACTTCTATTAAAATAAAATCTGTCACAGAGTCCTATTATTTTGAGAATAGCCTTCTGTGGCCCGTATGCATATAAGAGTTAGCGCTAAGAATCAATTTTTATTCAGATAAACCCTTTAACAAACTCAGGTTATATATGGAAGAGACAAAAATCATTATATTCCTCAATCCTGATCCTATTCTTTATCTCCAGACTAGATGGTCAAGTACAGGCTGTCTCTTTTTCAATGCATACAGTCACAAACTTTTTGTAGCACAGACTATATCACTGCAAATTTCAGCAATTCCCTTCCCATTCATGATGATGTGGACTAATTCTCTCACTGGTGTTATATCAACAAATGGCAACTATTTATTTCTTCTCCATTATTTCTGCTATCTAGCCACATGAGCCCATCAGAAATTTTGGAAAGAAGGAACAAACACGATGCTCTTTATAATACGTCCATGAGTTACCCAATACTTGTTAACTTATATACAGAGCTTTTTGCTGCTTCTCCCCTCAAATCACAGAAGTGCAGCGCCTCCTGCATTCCCTCTGTACACTACACCTTGAACCAAGTGTGACTGCACTGCCCAGAAGCAGATCTCAGCCACCACTCCAGGCAGGTGAAAGAAACGCACAGCACATCGTAGTCGCTGTCCCTGTGGACACGGCCTGTGGGCCATGGGAATGAGCTTTCTGTGGTCAACAACACCAGCTGTGGTGGTACATTCTGCAGTGTATACCAACAAAAACCTCAAAATAAAGCTTTTAACATAGACTCCAATGTGAAGGATCATAGACAGAGGCTTATTTCTGCTTCAAAAAATCAGTATCTGCCAAGAGGGTCCTTTGTAAAATGCAGCACTTGGACGTACTATGAGATCACATTGCTAAATTCATTAACCGTTGTTCAAGGACTGCCAATATGAGTTACTTGTTTATTACAGCACAGAATAAGGGCACACATCTATGTGCATTAAGTACTAGACCCAAGACTAAGTGGCAGTAGGTAACAGAAAAAAAGAAAATGTTTCCCAGATGAACTGTACAGAAAAAACACTAAAAAGAATTCCAGTATTTGAGTGAAGACTTTCATCAAAAATATTAAATTAGAATAGTTTAGTATTTTTCTTTTGAAATTGCTATTATTGGGGGGTTTTAAAGAAAATAATTTCACTCTGATTCTGTCAGTTGGGAAAAACTGGTACCCCAGGATGAGCAGGACTGCACAAATCTCCACAGACTCCCAACTACATACACCTGAAACATCATTACCATGAGATACAGATCTATCTTTAATCCTGGATGATTACTGGATTCTATTGCAAGGGACTTCTCACATGCACAAATGGTAAATCTCATAATCTGTTAAACTCGTTTTTCTTGTCATAAATAAACTGTGACATTGACATAAAAAGGAAACAATAAAACCATGATGGTTTTACAACATTCTTTTATCAGTGGCACAGTGGCTTCTCTTTCCTTATGTCACCACAGATGAAAACTAGGTAACTGGAAAGGAATTGTCACTTAATCTTCTTAAAGTTACCCCCTCAAACATCCCACTTTCAGAAAATTAATCCTTATCAATGAAACAAACCAAACATTTCTCTCACAAAGATGGGAGTCCAAGAATAACTACAGATTCTGATTCCCACTACATAGAAGTTCCACTCACCAGTAGCACTGTAACCCACTGTTTCCTGTACAAAGAATTCAACAGACTGTAGTGACTGACTCATACCCTAACACATACAAACGGTTGTTCTACTGCCTTTCTTTGTAAGCTCACTTGGGTGTGAAGCCTGGGTGTCCAAAGACAAGTGAGGCTGCAACCATAAGGATTTAGAAACCACGTCTCCACACCTACAGCTAAAAGGTGTAAGTGTGCTGCAGCTACCTACACCTGCATAGAGAGAGACTGTGATGCAACAGTTCTGTCAATTCAGCTAACCTGTCAACCCTAAAAACTAATTACATCTGGGAACAAGAGTTACAGAGCATGCAGATGAGCAGCATTACCTTACTGTAACTGGGTACTTGCTCTAATATAAACACCTTTGTTTTTCTCGGAGTTCCAGAAGGCTCCAGAACTCCAAGTCACAGTGTGTGTGTTTATAGTCAGACCTTGAACGTTGCACATAGTCTATCATTTGTATCTCCACTAGGCCTGTGTCCTTTTTCCACAATAATGTTTTTTAAAGTAACAAAACACTCAATTGACTGGCTCAGCAGGCAACCATGTAAATGGATCACACTGTCGAATAATATTACTGTCAAACTCTGACAAAATACGGGCATGTTAAACTAATGCTTTGGTGGCAATTTTATGTTACTGTCACCACTTAGAATTCTAAGTAACCATGTTCCATTTTGCAGATAAAACCAGTGAAAGCTCAGATACTTATCAGACAGAAACCACTGTATTTCACTGGAGATGCCCCTGATCGTGTCTCAGAAGGTATAGATACATATATTTCTTAAGTAGACAGCAGCCAGTGTAAAAGCTTCCGTGGAACAAATTTTCCAGACACATCTCATGGCTACTAACAGGGGAAGAATAACATCTTGTGGTTCAGTGAGACACTGAAACTTCCATGGATGCAACTGAGGTTCGGATTATGGACCAGCTGTTCAAAACTCCCTGTTGATGACCCCTGGGCAGAAGGATGGAAGCACCTGAGCCTGCAAGTGGCAGCGGCAGCCACGCTATGTGTGCCTCCCCACGTGCTTCTCTACTGCCACCTGATGCCCAAGCAAGAGAAAACCTATGGAAAAGTAGGGAATGCTTTTACAGAGTAGGATGCTGCAAGGAGAAAAACCGTTTTGCTACTGAGACTGAGAAAAGGCATTACTATAAAAGAGCTCCAGTAAATCAGCCAACCAATAGAAAACAAAGGATTATGAACTCCTTTTACTTATAAGCAGAACTTTTCAGTTAGTCAATATGAAAATTAATTGTAATGTGAAAAATGCTTTTTGATTATGAACATCACATGCTTTGTGAAATAGGCCTTTCCTAAAACACCTGCATAACCTCACACTTATTTTCCTGTTTTAATTTCAGTTGGCCATTTCTGAAAGCATCCCAACACAGAATTAAGTAGTTTCCCACACTTAAAAAATTCTTCATATTTTTCTGATGAATGGGTAATGTAATAAAAACATTTTTAGAGATTCATATCCACACAGAACTTAGTTCTGGGTTAGCATACTTGAAATTATGGATTTTAAATTTTCAATATGCTGTTTCTTCTAACAAAAGAAATCTTACACTCTTAACACTAATTTTAACATTTCTAGGCACTCAATCCCTTAGTGTAGAAAACTATTAAAAGTGTTGTAAAGCGATATAAACTGGAATAAAGTACGCTGACAACTTCCTTCTGGAAATGCATGAGATTTTCCCAATATTTTAAAAATTTCATTAATTGAATTACTACAGTGAGACTGACATCAGCACATTGAAATCTTTGGTGATGGCTATTAACCTAGACAAAACCTCCTGCTATGGCTGAAGGTTTATCTTTATGATGGCTGTCTGATGGCTTATACAGAGTGAATTGCACGCACTTGAGTAATTGTCTAAAAAGAGAAACTGGTGCAGGTAATGCAAAGAAAAGTGATAAACCCAGGAATCCAAACATGTTATAGGAGTAATACACACCTCACAAAGTCCACATATAGTTTAGGAACTGCAAGAACCCTTCCTCCTATCAACTGCAACTTCGAACACTGTCAGTGGAAAAGCCCAAAGGTTTGGGAACACCGAAGCATTAACTTCTTTTGTACCAATGCATGTATAAATAGAGTAGATCATGCAATCAACACTCTTCTGCCTGTCAAAAGTGGTTGCCCGAGGGTTGGTGCAGTTAGTTCCCTGCTGACAGACTGGAGGGCAGCTCATACTGAGGGCTATAAGGAGATTCCAGCAACACCAGCCATCCCTGTGTGCAATTCCCGGGACAAGATACTCAGCCTGTTCTCTGCCCTGTGTGATCTCTCTCCTAAACAAACGGGATGGTGTCCTTCAACACTAGCCAGAGTTTTGTCACACAAAACAACACCAAGTCTTGTATTCTGGGGCAAGCCTAATGTCCGACCTGAAGTCAGCAGGAGCCAACCAGGCCTGCACTGAACAGTGGTAACCCTGTTCTCAACCCTTTGTAGTGAGGTACAGAGCTGCTTTCACCCCACGGCTGACAAGTGCTGTACCATCACTGTACTGAAAACATCCCTCCCCCAAACAAAGAGGCTAAGACAGACAGAGGATAACCACATTGCCCGAGGTCACAGAGCATTTTAACACAATATTATGGGTGTCTCACGCTCGTCTTTCAACCACCAATACCACCAGCCAAGCCTCTTGTCCAGCCTCAGCGTTACACAATATTAGCAGAACTACCACAACACCCACAAGACATATTATAAAATGTAACTAGAGTTGTATCAAGAGCTCCTTTAAGTATAAAGGATTATTAAAAGTTACAGCTACTACTATTATTTGAAGCTTCCTTCCCTTCAAAGAGGATAATATTGGTACATTACCTGTCTCCTTCAGCGAGGTCTTCCACACTTCCAAACCCAGGGGTTGGCACGGGACATCCCATGTGCTTGAACTGAGCTATGCGAGGTCTGGGAGCTGGAATTTTCCCGCGAGACTTTTTGTGTTCCTGCTCCTCTTTGACCCGGATGTTCTCCCTGTCACAGATGAAACACTCGAAGCCATTCAGGTAATTGGGCAGAGTCATGTCATTCACGCCCCACTCCCGCCTCTGCAAGCTCTCTAGCAAGAACTGGTTTTTGATTCCACCAACGTTTTTATACTCTAGATACTTCAAATATTCCTCTCCATTCTTGTCCAGGAAATCAAGATACTTTGCCAGCTCTTGGGGGCTGTCAAAGTCATCTATAAGAATGATGGAGAGGTTGTTTGGCATCCAGTCCCGCACAGCTGGGGAGCCTCGGTACACTGGGACAGCCCCCAGGTGCATGGGACGCCACAGCTTCTCCGTCATGTAGTCCTCACATATGGCATTCTCCAAGGCCAGATGAAACTTGTACCTGGCGATAAAAGTCATAAACTCAGAATCTTCTGTTGTGGCTGTAGAAGTGTCTCTCAGTCGTTCACTGGGAAGCTCACGGTTATGCAGGCATTTCCCATAGGAGTCAACCTGAAATAACAACCAGCATCTTTACAAAGCGATCCCTTCACCCGGAACTTGTTTTCAGAGCTTGTAGTTCTTGTAAAATTACAAAGTTGGATCAGTTCCTAGCTACCTTGGCTTAGCTTCACTTTCACTCCAAGTTCTTTCCCTTGTAACTATTCCTAGAGCCCCGCTTCTACCAGCTTTAGAGGAAACCAAGTGCTGAGTTTCAAAAGCATCTTTAACTATGCTACAGATTGAGGGTTGGGGGGAGTGTGCAGTGCCACTCAAAAATGGATTTATTATCAGATAAATCAGAAACTGACAAGTAAGGAATAGCATTCGACCCTCTCTGCATTAATTTAAAAGTCATCCTTCTACTTAACAGAGACCCAGGACTTTTCCAAACAGCTATTACACATCGTTCCTGCCAGGCTCAGCAGGCTGACAAAATTTTTCCCTTTGTTAGACTGAGAAAAATTGGTGAAGCTAAAAGAATACCGTCTAAAAATGAAAGACAATATACTTGAACTGGACCTTGCATCAAACTTTGACAATATAGTAATATTTTAAAAATTCTTTTGTCTTTGTTTCAATAGTGAATATATGATAAACTTGCACAATACCTGAATCACGGCCAATAGCAACAACAGAAACAACTAGGAAAAAGATGTTTCTGGCAAAGATGAAAAACAGATGCTTTTTATCAATGTCCTATCCTTCAGAATTTTTAAGAGGAAAAAAAACCCTAAACTTTTTTCTGCTTTAAAGAAATTACATTATTTTACTTCAGGAAGCTACTCACCATCAGCTGTGCCGTAGCAGTATAAACCACCATAGAAACAACATCGTTCTACCACAACATAGATAAGGAGCCGATTCTCAAAACACAGCGACCTGCCTTTTTACTGCCTGCTTGTACTTTCAAATAGGAGCGAGGCTTGTAAATGGACAGCCTTCTTGTACTCTAACTTCAAGGTCCAGAGATTTCAGCAACTTTTACCACTTGGTCCAGCAGACTGAGCTTATTCAGGCTTTGCCCAGCTTGCGCCTGATCCCGAGTCTAGACAACTCCACAACTAACAAGCTACATGAGGCCTACCTACTGGCATGCGGTGTTGTCTAGATCACGCTTTGGGAAGGAATACAACTAGTTTTTCTGTCCAGCTTGTAGTCAGCATGCATCCCGTTACGACTCGCGTCTTGGCTAAAAACAAGGACAAACAAACCCCATTAAAAAGAGGCGGCGGAGGGGCGTAGCCAGGTGCTCCCAGCACCACGCCACAGCTTCCCCCGTGGATGTACCTGGATGTACTTCATGAGCTCCCGCACGTAGCGGTCCCTGTCCGAGGGCACATCGCAGTGGGACTGCATGTACAGCACGGGCGCGTAGCCCCTCCGCCGCCAGGCGTCCTTCTCGGCCAGCGGCACGGCCGGGCCCCGCAGGTACCCCGCGCCGGGCAGCCACTGCAGCGTCAGCGGGTAGTCGGACTCGCGGCGGAAGGTGGCCGTGTAGTTGAAGAGCTGGATGCCGGGCGGGTGCGAGAGCACGTAGTTGTTCATGGGGGACTCCTCGTGGAAGAGCGCCCAGGTCTGGTGGGGCAGGCGGGGCAGCGGCGCCTCGTACGCCCTGAAGTCGGTGCCGTAGAAGATGAGCGCCTTGGTGCGGCGGTGCCGGGCAACCCGCCGGCTGCGGGTGACGAGGCAGGACCCGCGCGGGCAGTCGATGCGCTCCGTGTCGCCGGGGAAGTGCGGGAAGAGGCTCCCGCTCCACCACAGCAGGATGGGCAGCGCCTTGTTGCTCCGCGTGTCGTTGTTGCCGGGCCCGCGGTAGGACGCGGCGGCGACGAAGGCCGCGCCCGGCGGGACGGCGTCCTGCGCCCACCCCTCCGCCCCACACGGCTCCGCCGGCGCGGCCGCTCCCGCCGGCGGCCCCTCTGCGGCCAACGCGGCCCCCGCGCCCCAGGCCAGGGCCAGCGTCACCCACAGGCCCGCGGGCCCGCACCGCGGCCCCGCGCCCCCCATGCCCGTTCCCCGGGCCGGTCCCGCCGCCCCAGGAAGCGGCGCCGGCCCCGCCCCGGCGGTGCCGTCACGGGGCGCGGAGGGGCCCGGGCGTGGGGCCGGGCGGGAGCGGGGCCGCCTTCCCGCTCTGTCACCTCGGACGCTCCAGGAACAGTGGCAGCTCGTAGGGGCAGCGACGCCTAACACGGGTCTGTCAGCGTTCGTGCAGCCTGGCTGCAGCGGCCGGACGAGGCGACCCATTCGCAGGTCCCTTCCAACCCTACTGTCCTGCGGCTGAAGGGGCTGTAAATCCTCTCTGCCTCTACCGCTCCTGCATCCGTTTGTGCACGCACCTGCCGCACAGCAAGCTTCGAGCGAAGGCAGCTGCAGAGGTGGCTCCTCGACCAAGCAGGCGTTTAGGTGTTGCAGGAAAGAGCACCCTGATTAACTCCTGCTGATTAACGGAGGGAACAGAAAACACCTTTTAGTAACAGAAATCTTGTTGGTTTTTTTTAATATCTACAGGTAGTTTTAAAGCTTCCTTGAAAGCTGCTTTTCTGTACCAACCTTAAATAACTCCTGTGGTATTAAATTATTCTGTAAATGGGAAATTGGTTTGGGCTACACTATGTAAATCCAACGGAAGTATGCTAGAATTACCACTCAATTGCTCAGTTACACAATTGCTAAAAGACTCAATTCCTTAAGACCTAACTTAATATAATGACAATACTTAGGAATTATCAGTTATAATACAGGACATCAGTTAGTATAGACACAAGGCAAAGAAGTCTTCTTTATCTGTGTAAGGAACAAGTTAAAGCAGAAATCTTTTTCCTTTCCTTTGAAAAGACAGGTCTGAACACTGCTTGGGCCTGCTCCAGCAGCACACCACAGGGTCCTGTGCTGAGCTCCCAGCAGTGTGACAGGTATGGGCTCTGCAAGGCAATTCCCACAAGCATCAGAAGGGGAGCTGCACGATTTACTCCATATGATTAATGTACAAGATCCACAAGGCCCATTATCACAATACCAGTTCAGTGGCAGATTCTGGATATTATGTACATTCTGTAGGAGAGTAATCTCAAAAATACTCTACAGCAAACTTAGTATTGTTGGATATTCAGCAATGATTGTCATGTGCTTTCATACAGATCGTTCTAAGGTTATCAGGAAATTGTACAATATCAATGTTCAAGGCTACAGTCAAGTTACACTGCCAGTTCACTCTGAACTTTATTTTTGCAATTAACACCCCCCCCCAACAAAACAACCTCCCCAACCAATCTACCCAGCTTCCCTTCTTTCTTAACTCTGAAATAGGAGCTCTATTTCTCTGAAAAGTTAAGAATACAGAAGTCATTAAGCTGACATTGCACAAGGTAAGGGCAATATTTGCCAAAGTAGACCAAAAAAACCCACCCCAATCAATGACTCAAAGCTGTGTTAGCAAAAAGGGAAATCTCTTTGCAAAACGGAAGTTCAGAAGGGACAGAAAGTCAAAAACCAATCACTTAAGCAAATACTGAGACTGAACAGTATCTTTTGTCAGTTGACTCTTGTTGAATTTCTTATCATTCAGTGTGAGTAACAACAACAACGAAAAAAAGAGACTGAACTTGGCCAGCAGAAGATTGGATTGTAAAGGAGCAATGAGTTAGACTTCATCCCTTCCCGTTTCCCCCCTCCCGCAAAATACAGGGTTTGGAAAAATAAGCAGTGTTTATTTACTAACAATGACATAAAATACATCTTAATATATTTTTATTTCTTTACAAATTAAAAGATGCATTGGAAAAACAAGTGAAGAAAATGAAAGGTTCATTCATGATTTCATTTCCACCCCCACACCCCCCAATATTAATACTAGAAATTAGTATTTGTGGAAGTCTGTGGTTGCTGCACCTTATATTTCTGGGAAGTTCTTTTTTTCCCTCTTATTAAAAATCCTCTAGATTTTTTGGTTGGAGGCAGTACATGGAGTAAAAAGTTGGCCACATTCATACAAAAACGCTGAAGGTTCTGTCAACTACATCTTGAAAGAGTTTCTCCATTACAATTTTCATATTCCCCTTTCTGTGTAGTGATGGGAGGGAAGACAAACTAGCAGCATTAGAAGAAAAATGGATTTATATACACGCTACAGGATATGGAACTAAAACCACAGCCAGATATTTTTTCTGATCTTAACAAGGACTTTCCTATGAAATATCGAGCCCAGATCACATGTTCTCTAATCCATCCACATTCTTCCTTCCACTTTTAGTGCTACTGGTAGCTTAAACTCCTGGGTATTGGAAGAACACTTGTTAAGTGTTCAAGCTAAAATATACAAGCCCCCTTTCAAAAGTGAATAAACGAAGCCCTTAGAATTCTGAATTTGATTACACTAGCTCCCTCTTCACAGGAGTCTTCTCATCCACCCTCGCAAAATGGAGCAGCAGAGCAGCCAAAGTGGATGGATTAATCTGTCTGAGGTATTTTAGTTTAACAAACAGGCTTATAAAAAGGTTTTGTGCAAGCTGATCAGTAGGTAGAACAGGGGAGGGTATAAACATCCAGTAATGAGACTCTTTGCTATGGCCCAGATGCTTTCAATAACCAAAATCAGGTACTTATGATACCTACTACAGTACAGTCTAACTCTTAAGTTTTTGTATCTCCTTCCTTGTATTCCAGGGTACAAAGCAATCTCAAAAATCCGCATCAGTATAAATCAAACTCCTGCTTGTTTGCTATGATTCACAATAATATGGTTGAAAATGGCCACTTCCTTATCATCCAGTTCCTACACAGCCCCCCATCACCTTGTTAAACGTAGTTTCTGCTTAAGGTTAAGAGGATTTTGTTCCCACCACCATCTGATAGACAGGTAAGCTCTGCAGGAGAGGCCATGGAACATGGATTGAGTAGGACAATACAGAGCCATGCAATGAGAAGGAAAGGAGTCACCACACACGCCAACAGGAAGTCCCATCTCTACCCCTACACTGTTTAGAAGCTGTTGATTTTTGCCCACTGAACTATTAATTACTCCATTACAGATCTGCACAGCAACTTATAGTACAGGGAAGATTGTGGAGAGAAATTTGTCCTGCTGCCTCCTCACTTAGCTCTCATTTCATTTTTCATGGCTTTCTGGTTCAGACAGCCGCATGATACACCTCTGCTCTGACACACCGTGTTTCCCTCTTTAGAGAAGACATAAAATGTTTGGCTGCTCCAGCTCCCGTTACCTGACCTACCTCTCGTCCTCCCCACCTGTGCATCACCTTCACACTTGGAGCATGCACACACACCCACATGAACACACAGCAGCTACCAGAAATTTTGAAGAGTTATCGCTTTTTCACCCAATGTTGAATCATGTACAGTGAACTGAAAAAAACCTACATTCATTACGACAGGATTAGCGAGCATGGGGTGGGGGGTGAACTCCTGCCAAGCACAGGAAACAATTTAGATGCAAATAAAAGACCTGGTATCAAAGGCCTTTTTTTTTTTTTTTTTTTTTCAGCCCTCACCAGGAAAATATTTCATCTCTCATACAGGATTGGGAAAGGTTGAAAGGATTTCTGCTTATGCAACATGTATTAAAAATTATGGAATTGTACAGATTTCTATGTTGTCCTTTTTGAGGGCGCTGGGCCTTCTGATCAGGTCTTTAGTGGAGACTGAAATGTCACTGCTGAGTTCCAGCACCACTCACTCCTCTAGCTCAGTAGCTGCCGAATCTCCTTGTGCATGTGACACAGGAAGTCCACATATGAAGCCCCCCCACTCAGGCTCTTGTCCTCCACTAGGAAGTGTTTGAACAGCATTTCCAGCTTATCTTCTTGCTTCACAATTATCAACTACAAAACAAACAAACAAACAAAACAAAACAAGAACAAAACCAACAGTGAGTAGGTAGTAGAATTATTCTTCTTGGGGAAAAAAGAGCAAAAAGCCAATGGCTCAAAAACCCAAAGACAGATAACCAGAATCCTGGCTTATGTGCTTTGACTTCTGTAAATCAACTGGGTTAAGTCTCAATCCTTTCCAAACAGAAGAAAAATACCACATATGTGGTTTGTACAGTAGTATATTGTAATAGGTCTGAAAAAAATAGTTTTAGAACTATGATAAGCAGAAAACTAGTGAAATCTTTTTTTCAGATCCTTGAAAACTTTGAATCACATTTATGAGATTGGGAAGAATAAGTTCAGAACTGCAGCATTACCAGGTATCACCTGCTCTACAATAAGGGAAGGGGATTTAAAGCTGTGAATGGGGGACAGCATTTTTACCTTCATGTAGCGGGATCTCTGCCCTTGAAGCATGTCAACAATAGATCGTACTTTCTTTGAAAAGGGGTTTTCCAAGACAGGCAGGGCACTCTGGAATGAAAGATATCCAATCCCCATTAGTCAAGTGAAGTAGAGTAACGTTAAATAAAACTCAGCAGTTTCGTCATATTATAGAAGGGTATGGACATATCTACCCCCATTAACATACAATCTCTTTGACCTCAACTACTTAAAAGAGAATATAACACGATATCAGAATTAAAGGTCATTTATTTGTTCCATTTAGGTATCAACTGTTCTCTTCACTGTTAGTGATGTGGCTTGCCAAGTAAACTTGGGCAAAAGCATGCCCAACATGCCCAGACTAGGGACATTTCCACTAGTTTCACATATCTGTGCTTCTCTTGTTCCCAGTATGAAAAATGTAACACTATTTTCTCAACTGGCTTTCTCACTGTTTTAAGTTTTGGGTGACTATCACAGACAGTAGCTCCCACACTGCCATCCAGCTCACCAAGGTGTTGCTAATCTGACCGAAGGATGACACTCCAAAGAGGTTCTGGATCAGGCCTTGCTGCACGCTGACTCCCACCCACACAAAGATGTTCAGCCCATTCTCCAGCAGGTATATATCACCCTTGGAGAGACGCTCCTCTGAGTTCCGAATGGCTGCTGGCAAGGAATCACTGTCAACATCTGCTTTGGTCTGTTTTAGAGCGAAATAAAAATTAAAATCAGTAAAATAAAATCAAGGTTATAAAACAATAACATCTTATGAAGTCCTGAAAATTTCTGCCACTAAGACCCCAATGAATTTTAATTTTTAGTTCTCATAAGACTACAATAGCTGTGACTGTGGTATCATCTTCCTTAGCTTAGTTTTCTTACTGAATGTGACACAGAGAGATTCTTGGTCAGCAAAAGAGAACATAAGGTTTCTGTGAAATTACTTTGAAGTTCCAATATAACCTCCTGGACTAGGAATGTAATTAGTTTTTAGTATTATTCCAGCAACTACGCTACTG